AGCCTCTCCTGCTAGACCTTGTCACACTTAACCAAATTTGTTGTTCATGTGAGAGAATTATAAGCATTCGTTTCTGCCTACTTATTGATTTCCAAAAACCTATTACTCGTATATCAAATGTATTAGACTTTTGGATTGATAAAATTCAGATATGTTGGCCTCTGCGAAGTCACTAGGTGATAACAAGTGACTGAGTGAGTACAAGAAGCTGACTGTTCCACTTTTGCAACACTTGAAAAGGTTTCCATCAAGATAACTGTTCACAACTTCATTTCCATTGTTCGCAATTCGCATATGTGTTCTCTGACTATATTTCCATTACGTTGAGAGCTGTAAAAAAGTTAGTGCAATGCTTAGAGACTATTTTGTAGCACTCAATATGTGCCTTTAGAAAGTATCGGGTTGTTTTTGCCTCATATGTTGGGTAGCTCAATTACTTTCGCCAAAGTTATCTGACTTTTGTTTTATGCAGAGGTGAAATCTTTGAATTGTTTATGATTCCATCTTGACGGTGACATCATAAATCAGGTATGAGTGTAAAATTGATGAATTCGGCGTATTCCAAATCAGATATTTTGTAGATCTAGATTATGATATCCATTTATTGTTTCAAGATGAGGATTAAACTATTGATCTACTGCAGTAAATGGATGTGCTGAAACATTAATTTTATAATTGGATTTGTTTACTGTGTATATTTTTGCAAGTTAATCCTCCGTCAATTGGGATACCTTAAGACATAAATTATATTTCACTGTTTCTTTCTTGGACCTCCTCTATCTATGGAATTGTGAAAGGACTTTGTGCTCAATATTCATATTCAATTTATTTCTCCCCTCCCCAAAAAAATCAAATAAAAGATGATATGTTTTTTATGCATTATAAACATAAAATATTTGTTTGATTGTTTTATATTATGTGGTTATATTCTGTACATGCTTGATATGAAAGGTCATATTGTGTGCAAATATAAAAAAGTAATGTAGCTGGTTTGCTTTGCAATGTTGCTTGATGATGATATAAGATAAAGTGCATTTGCATTGTTTAGTGATCTTGCAAGGGTAAGTCTCGAGTCGTGCAATGTCTAAATGTCTTGTCTAAGCTCTTATTAGTTTTATAATCAATCTTAAAATGCAAGGTCTCATGATATATATATATATATATATATATATATATATATATATATATATATATATATATATATATATATATATATATATTTGGTGACTTTTTCTAGGATTGTTCGTCATTTACGTAAACACTTGTCTGAGTTTCTTGATGCTTCCATGAAGCAACTAGTTTGGTATATTTGCCAAAACATTTATTCCAATGTTTTACTTCTAATCTTCTAGGATTTTGTATATCATTGACTCATGCATTCTTTAAACAGGAGGCTGGCAAGCTGAATGAGATTGTTTCTGTCATAAACAATGCTTGTCGAGGAATTGGAGAATTAGCAATTAAGTTGGATCAGTTTATCATCTTGTTACTATCACAATTCACAATATACACATATATTATTTTTATTAAGTGAATCTGAGTTATAGTTTGCTTGGGTATGGTATGTTTCCTAATGTAAAGGGAAGATTTACTTCCTTCTCTTTTATAGGCAATGATATTACACTGCTTGTCTGCTTAATAGGTATTGTAGACATTATATATAATTGACATTTTCCCATGAATATTACTAAATTAGATTCAAAAGATGAAAATATGACTTACTTTAAAAAAAATCAAAAAAATGACATATTCAGTGACTAGTCTCAATGACGACTCATCATCGATTCGTGACTTGTCACTCTGAAATACGCTCTAGTGACTCTTGTCCGGTTACTCGTACACAGTGACTAGTTATATATTTGTCCAAAACATAACTAGTCATATTTTTGTTCGGGAAAACTATATATAAGTAATATATATGTCATTTTTTCAATATAATATAGTCTATTATATATGGAGTATAATATTAAGCAAAAAAAAACAATATTAGGCATGGAAGCAAATGGATCATGGATGTGTACATTTCTTCCATGACAGAGATAAACTCATTCAAGGCTTGTTTCTTAGAGGTTCGTGTGTTCATCATATCTGAACATCTTTCTTCCCAAAGAGGTGTTCATTCAAGGCCTATTATGATAAAGTAAATCCTAAACACCAAGTCCAAGCTACATTTTATTATATTTTCGCAATGATCGTTCACACAATAAGTGTTTGTAATATGTAAAAAATTCACTGTGTTTATCTCCTATGCAACAGTACATGAGTGGTGGTCGTATCTCAACCTATATCTACACATTAAATAGTAAAAGTAATAAAGTAAACTATTTAACACAGATATAACCATTTTTAACATAGCCTTAAATTTCTGTATGAATATGATAAATACTACATGTTATTTGTAGTTTTATTTTCAAATCATGCTTTTTATGTGTACATATGCCATCACAAAAGTGATTTAATATTTAAGTAACCTTACATATATTTCAAATGTTATAACATGTATAAATATAGAACCAACCTCTCACATGGATAATGGATTAGAGGTCAAAATTAGGTAAATTTATAAAATCCAATTTAGCACAAAAATATCCACGGTCTAGCTAAAATCTCAATCCAACTCCTCTATGAATTTATATCCCAACTCTCAAGCCCATAAGTCTATCCTACTTGCATGTTTTTTATTTCATTTTAGGGGAGGAATGCCCTAGGAAACGTTGTTCCTCCTAGTGTTCCACTCTAGTGTTTTCTCTTTTGCGAACACTTTCTCTGGTTGTGAGATTTTTTAGTGTATCCTTCTAAACTTATTATAGTATTTGTTTAATTGGTTGTGAGATTTCTTAACTCATTTATGTTGCATTATCTTCTTTTTACACTAAAAAAAATTGTTTTGTTTGGACCAAATCCGAAAATTGATTAGAAAATTTCTTTTCCATTTCACTTTCAATATATGCTCTTGCTTTTTGGCCAAAGCAAGACCACAAAGGTATATTAGGAGATTTGGATTGTATTTGGGGAGGTTATGATAAAACCCTTGTGCACACTAGGTGTTTGTAAAAACTGCTATAATTTCTTTATCTTTTTTTCATGGTGACTAGCTTGTAGAACTTGTTAGGGAGGCTCAAGGAGACTTGTAGAACACCATTTGACACCCACCCACATCATACATTCCTACCTCTCCACCACGAGAATAGGAGGAGGTAGGGGGACACCACAAGGTTGTTCATTTTTTCTTAGCTTTAGACCACACCTTTGGACCATGAGAAATTGAGAATGAATATTGAAAATCCTTAGTTTGACCATCGACCATGAGAATAGCAAGGACACATATTATTTTCTCCTTTTGTTGTTGATTTTTCTCAAATCCCCCATGCATCCTTATTATTGATAATGTGGTTGGTCTTTGTATGACTCATGCTTCCCTTCTGGTTTTTATCACTTGATTGGTTATCTTGCAATTTATTTCTCTTATAATCCATCATAGTGACTTAGACTACAATCCATCATAGTGACTTAGACTAGCTTACACTTATAGGTTGCTTGAATAAAAAATCACATTACACTCCCTCACACCCCGATAAGCTGAAGGGGCATCAAAGTTCAAACTAAATTGCGCAAATCAAAATTTATGTTATCATATACCACTAATGGTGTAAGAATGTCTATGAGATAAGAGGGAAAAAGTTTTTTTTTTCAAATATGAAGAAATATTAAGAGCATATAGTGAAATTTCTATTGCATATATAGTGAAATTGACCCAATTGTGAGTAATTACTTACTTACTTTTATGCATAACAAAACAACTTTAAGTATATCAAACATCAATGGTGATGATGGAAGAAAGTATTTAAGTGAAAATAAATTAACCGAATAACTATACTCCTCGTCAGGCCCGTAGAAGTTTTTACGCGGATTTATTTGGTTTCCCTCACTTTCGATTCTAATTTTACACTTGTATCTATTGGGTCAGGCCTAGCCCCCCGATAGTCTGTTTTCATTCTCATTGCATGTATTTTGAGAAGGAATGCCTTCGCTGGAGAGGTATTGGTATAGCCTCCCTCTTCATCTGTATCTCTGATATTATCAATAAAACAAGGTAACTGACCCCCGGCATTTACCCCAATGATTTTGGTGGTTTGCCTTTCCGGGGTAAAAAAAAAACTATACTCCTCGTCAATTTAAATTTGATTGCTTTCGATTAGTTTGGGTATCTTTTAGTTGGTTTAATCAATTTCAATAGTCAATATTTGAGATAGCAATTGTATCTTGATGATGGGCGACATATCCTTGATAATTTCGTGCTCTTTATACTCAACACAAATGAACGAAGATGCACCTCAAATGTCAAAGAACACAAAAACATGCAGTACTTAAATCAGTGTATTAACTACATGATTTTTAGTACATGGATTTTCCGTTTGGGAAATTCCTGATTAAATATTGTCTTATTAAATATTGCAAAAATTGCAAGTGTAATCTTATAACCTGAAAAAGTTGCAAGTGCAATGAACTTGAAACCTTTGTGCATCTTTTGTAACTCCTCAATAATGTATGAGCACACTTTTCCTTCATGTTCTTAACTATTGCAAAAAAAAGTTACCAAAACTCTCTTGCCCAACCAACACAACCGAAAAAGCGGCATCACCATATGAAGCTGGCTTAGCCAGTTAACCTTATGGTTGAATCTCATTTGAATAAAACAAAAAGGCATCTCTGGCCTGTAAACAAATTACAAACTATTGGCACTACTAATTTGTAGTTTCCTTCAAATTACCAAAGAACTGATGCGACAATTAACTCTATGATGGCAATGTTTTACGCCAGATGCCCCATAATAAGAGAGAGGGTTGGAGAAGAAAAATCTAAACCCCCATCATCATACATAAACTCTACTTGTATGGAAATTATATCAATAGCACATTTTGCAAACTGTTTTTCATATTTATTATAATATTGCAGTTTACAAATTCAAGAATCAATACAAGAAAGAATATAAGCAGGTATGGTGGCGCACGATAGAGAAATATGATGTTCATAATCCTTTCAGTCTCATTCAGGTCCATAAGAGATCAGCGTGAAATTAGCTGAGATCAAAATAAGTAAACATCCAACTAATTTACCAAAGGATGCGATTCTTAAAGAACCCATTCGCAACAACTGCGATAGAGCTGCCTACAAATGAAACAAAGCCACACAACAAACACATTATAGGGCTATTTTGGGGGGTAATGAGAATTTTAGTTGTTTCAGTAAGCTTCATTAGTTACAAAGATGACAAATACTCTCGTTGGATAACACTGTGTGTTCTCCTGAATTGCCGAACTTTTTCCATTGTCATGATGATATCAATTTTAGGGTCCGATGGTTAGGTCTATTAGGCTGAAATCATATGGTTGAATATTGTGAGGAAAAACATTGGTCATATCCATTGTAGCCAAATAAGTCAAATGCTATTTTTATTGTGTTGATAAGCAGAGCAAGTCACCTGTGGCTACCAATCAAAGCTTTAGCTGTAAAGTTATACCAAGAAAATTTTTTTATACTCTTTAAGCATCACTCCCATAATACTCTGTAGTTCAGATCCTTTATTATTCTTCTATTTGTTACTATTGTTTGGGGGAACAAATAAAACAAGAATGTGTGATCCCACCATTTCATTTATTAAGCCCTAAAATGCAATCCAATAACTTGCAAAAGAGTGAGTGTAAATGATACCTCAATATAGAGTACATTGACAGCTTTGCTGGTTTTCTCAAGCTGAAGTCCTCTTGCCAAAGTTATCTGTGAATAGTAAAGGGTTGTAAATCGCATGACCTGGTAGAAATTGTTTTAAGACAAGCAGATGTGTTTCACAAATGTAAAGGACCAATGATAAGGTCAGGTTAAAGGTTGAAACCTCAGCGAAGAAAGCCAGTACACCAAGCACAATTATAAGAAAGAGAGAATAGGAACTTGGAAGCACAAATTTCTGCAGGAATAACAAGGAATTTAGGAGGGTGTGGCAGCTTGAACATTACTAACAAAAAAGTTCTTCGTATTAAGCCCATAACTACAGACATTTCATGTTTTTTTATGAAGGTAAATAGAGGTTATACAAATTATGGTTTCCGGTTGTGAACTCTTGAATATGCAAAGTGAAAGCTAATTCAAGGAGAATATAGAAGAGGGTGTTTGGGAATTTCAAGGAATAATCTGTTTTGTGGAGGGAAAATAGTGATTTTACTACAAGAGATTGTTAGGCAAAAAATAGAAAAAAGGTATTTTAATAGTGAAGAAGTACTTTTGGTGTCCTTGTTTAAGAAAGTACCAGATTGATGTTTTTGAAGGGATAAAAGTCGTGCTTAAATCTCAAACTTTTATATCCTTTTTTTTTTTTATCCCGGAAGGTAAACCACCGCATCCAGTGGGGCAAATGCCGGGGGAACATTTGCCATAATTTTATTAAAGTGAGATTGAATACAAAGAGAAGGGGACCAAACCAAAACCTCTCGAGGAAAGGCATTCCATTCCAAAAAAAAAAAACGAAGAATAAAAATGAAAAGACAATGGGAGCTAGACCTGCCCCATTAAAAATTACCAATGTCTAATGCATGGAATACCAAATAAATCCCCAAAGTAAGCATTACGGGCCTGAATTGGCAGATCTTTGGCCCTGTAAAATTGCTGAAGTATATTAGTAGAAGATTTGGCCAGATAATGGGCCGCAGTATTAGCCTCTCGCCATATATGTCCGAAACTAATCGCTTTCCTAATTCTGAGAAGCTCCATTTCTTGAAAGCAACCCTTCCATCGACCGTCTCTTACCTGAGTGAGATAACCCAGTGCAAGCATACAATCAGTTTCAACATGAAAGCCATGGAACCCGGCGTCTACCATCCAGCGAGAGGCGTAAGCTATGGAGAAGATTTCCGCTTCCAGGCTCGACGAGGCAACCAAAGGAAACGCGATTGCCGCAATCAACTTCCCATCGTCATTTCTCAAAATAGCAGCACCACCAGCTTTCCCAGGTACGTAACAGGCATCGGTGTTGAGCTTAAGACAATTTTGGGGTTTAATCCATCGAATAGCTCTGATTTTCATCCTCGAAACCTTGAAATTCCGTGGAATAATCCCCTCTTCCAATAACACATCCTCCACACCGGGAATTTTTAATCTGGAAAGACTAGTTATCCAGGTACTTATGAAATGTTTTATTTGAATTATAATGCTCTCAGATGACACACCTCCTACCCTATCACCCCAAATGAATTCCGCATACGTTTTCCAAATAAACCAACAAATTATACCTGGAATGAGATGTTTAAGAAGGTCCAATAGTGTTTTGCTTCCGGCTTTAAGCCACCAATGCATCATCTTCTGTCTGATGCAAGAAGCAGAATAATGTGGAATGCCTAATATGCTCTGAAAATAGTACCGAATAGGTTTAACCACCGTACAGGAAAGAAATATGTGGCTCATGGAATCCTCATGTTTCCTGCATAAGGGGCATATAGAAGGCCTTAAGACCATATTAAATCTAACCAGCCTATCAGTTATTGGCAAGATGCCATGGAGCATTCGCCAAAGGAACACCTTAATTTTCAACAATTAACATGGATGCCAAATATGCTTGAAGGAAAGCATAGTAGACTGACCCTCTCTCACAGCCTCATAAGCTGACCTAAATGAAAAACGGCCATCAGCTTCAGACTCCCAGACTAGACTTCCATCATGATTGAGAGAGCAGTTGACTGTAGCCAAATCATGGATACTACATATCCTTCTCCAAATAGGAGAATCAGTTATTTTAGGAATCATGTTTGAGTCTCTAAGATATCTATTAGCCAAGAAATCAGTCCAAAGAGAGTTACCATTTCTCCATTTCCACCACAACTTCAAGGAGAAAGCTCTTTCAATGGACTTCAGAGATCTGATTCCTAATCCACCTTCTTCAGTAGGCATAGTCAACTTAGTCCAGGATAACCAATGATGATTATTCCGGGTAATGGAGGAACCCCAGAAAAAACTAGCCATCTTTTTCTCAAGTAAGTTAACCACTTTTTTAGGGAGGGTATCCACAGCAAGAACATGTAGGGGAATTGAGCTTAAAACGTGCTTAATCAAAATTAATCTCCCTCCTTGAGACAGATTTTTGCTCTTCCAAGAAGAAAGTTTAGATTCAAATTGCTTGATAATATCATCACAATATTGAAATCTATTAATACCTTTATGTAATTTAACACCCAGGTACTTCATAGGTAGGGCAGAATGCTGCATACCCAAAATTCTCTGAATGCCTCTACTTCTGTATCTCCCAGGTTCACCCAAAATAAATGAACTCTTCTGCAAGTTGACTGCTTGGCCAGAAGCAACTTGATACTCCTTTATAAATCTGGTAAAATTAGCTAAAGACCTTTTCTCTCCATTTAAGAAAACAAGTAAGTCATCAGCATAACCCAAATGAGTGACTGGGAAACCAACATTTCCCATCCAATAGGGAGAAATACTGCCACTTGCCATTTTGTTATTGAGCCCTCTGGAAAATGCCTCAGAAAGGGGAGAGAGGGTCTCCCTGCTTTACCCCCCTTTTAGGCTTAAAAAACCCCTGGGGAATCCCATTTATAAGAACTGAGAAGTGAGTGGCTTCTAAATTATTTAGAACAATCTGGATGAACTCTCTGCCAAAACCAAATTTCTCAAGAACCTGCTGTAAAAACTTCCAAGATAGCCTATCAAACGCTTTAGCCATATCAAGTTTGATAATAACATTAGAGCCTCTAATTTTCTTATCAATAGAGTGTACCATCTCCTGAGCAATGAGAATTTGTTCAGCTATATCTCAAACTTTTATATCCTATAAAGTGAATATAGCATATGTCCGCCCCAAGACCAATCTAAATTGCTAACGATCGAAAAAAGATAAATCAAATTTATGTGTTATCTTCTACTCTAACTCAACATAGAAATTCCAAGTAGTCATCCATCCAAATCAAAGACCAATATTGTTCAATCTCTCACTGGGTAGTGTCCGCATGGGGGCTTCCAAAATTAAATCTCTCCCTCACCCCCCCCCTCTCTGAATGTGTGTGAGTTAGTGTGTGAGTGTGTGTGCAAATGGTCCCAAATCTCATGTTGGCACTACCCACATGCGTAACATCGAACCATCCTTCAAGTCACAAAAAATGTCAGATTACAGGCTGATCTTTTCTCCTAATGTGACCAAGTAGCAAATATTGACAGTTTGACACTAATGGCATGTTACTATGTTAGCAGCAACCTTCTTAGAAGTAGCTATAGGTTAAAACTAACAATCGGTACATGATTTACAGCCAGCATATATCACATAGTAGCATAGTGTTGAACAAAGGTCTTACTTCGAAAGCAAATGTACATATTCCAACAGCAGGGCTTGCAAATAGACCAAAGGAGAAAACTGTGACCCTGAAGTTTAATATCCAGAAACACAAATGCAAAAAACTAAATACTATGTTAACCAAACTGGTTGAAGCACAAACAGCTAAACAGTGATCAACCGATATGCTCTTCGCTCATTTCGAGGTGTAATGTTCTTTGGCTGCTTTATCTTTTACATGCTCATGAAATACCTAAAACCTAATTACTGGAAGATAGATTTCATACAAAACACGATTGCTTTAGGGATGTAAATGAAATAACTTAAGACACATTAAATGCTAAAAACAAGCTTAATTCTTTAAACTTCACAAGTGCTTCAATTTCTCTACAAGTAAGAAAAACTTTAGATGAATGAAAACGTACATGTCCATACAGTGAGTATAAGACAGTAGCATAAGCTTACACTGGTTGATCGGTTGTCTTAGCTCCTGCCCTTATAAGACAGTAGCTGATTCCGCCAGTTATAGATGAACATAGACCAACCAAAACTGCATAGAAATGGTGGTTTCCATTGACATATGAAGCATTAGCTTCTCCAATGTCTCGCAAAGCTCCTGGAAAAAGTCTACAATTAATTATTCAATCTTCTTCTCTTTAAAGACAATGTGCACATAACCACATCACCACCACCTTAGTCCCAACTATTTTGGATGGGGGGCATGAAATTTGTAGTGTCAATTAATTATCCAAATTTGTTTAGTACTATAAACTCATGCAAAAAACATAATAGCAAAGTTTTATGTTGGTTGCCTTTCATGTCGGAACCTAGTAAACAAGGAATGATCAGATGAAATTACAAATGGTCTGAACTCTGGATAGATGTAGATGAAGCACAGCGAAGATAGTGCCATTAAATCAGCTTTGAGTAGGTACGTTTTTGCCATTAAATCAGCTTTGACTCTCAATCTGTCCTCTTCAGTATACAGCTCTATTGGTTTTGGAACTTTCACTTGGTCGACAGGGGGCTCATTTTCATCGTCTCCTCCTAGAACCATCCATAATTGAGCCGGACCCTCTGTCAGTGATTCCAGCATAGCTGAGGAATTGTCTTTGCTCTCGAGGAAGTTGAGAAATCTGTTCTTCCACATAACGTACTCATCTCTCCTGAGGATAGGGGGTCTGCTATCGTTACCCATTGAAAGAGCGTCCATATCTGCTGTTCTTGAGAAAGTGACCGTTCGAGTGATTGATCTGTTTTTAGAAAATAATTATTTCTAAGTATGGAACATCGAGAAGTTTAACCTCGAGAAAGATATTCGAGAACAGGGAATTCGAGAAAGTTTATCGAGAAGTAAGTTTTCGATATTAGGACTTCGAAAACTTGGTTTTCGATATTCTAGGTTCGAAAACTGAGATATCGAGAAGTCAGATATCGAGAACTGAAGTCGAGAACCTGTAATATCAAAATCAGATATTCAAAGTATAAATATCGAAAAGTACTAGTGCGAGAAGCTAGTATCGAAAACTAAGTTCGAGAACTCAGTATCGAGATCATTCTGTCGAAATCCTGTACTTAAAAATTTTCAAAATTTTGAAAACGAAGATTGCTGCTGAATTGTTTTCGATGTCGAGAAGCTTCCTGGATGAATCAAACTTCGAAAAACCTGCTGAAGTACCAAGAACCTGTTTTTTGATATGCCTATATCGAAAACTTCAAATCTCAAACTTTACAGATATCGAAAATGAAGATATACTGCTGGTTCGTTTTTGAAAGACGAATCCAACAGTATAACTTTTACACAGAATTGTCCAAAAACAGATTTACAAAGACAGATTCAATAAAATATCGAAAACATAAAACAGAGCATTCTTCGCAGTTTTTCTTCGATGCAGATCAGTACTCGATCGGCTCTGATACCAATTGTTGGTCCCAAAATAAGGATGTATTGAACAGCAAAATACGATCTATAACAATATAGGTAAGGTCTAGATAATGATATGATCAATCTAAGAGCAATAGAGCCTTACGCTATACTATCGAGAAGTATGAAAACTTTTTAGAGAATAAAATAGTACTGTATTGCTGAATATTTTTAGTCCTGTACCACAAGTACGCGTATTTATAGGCGCAGGTACAGGTACCGAGAATGGTAACCTAGAACTCTGGGCCTAGGCCTTTTTGGGCCTTAAACCCTTAGTTGGATTTATTACATCATAAATACATTAAAACGTTAATCTATTCTAGATAAATAAACAAGACATCAGACAAGCTTGATCACAATTAATATTTTTCCTCAACACTTCATAACCATAGATTTTTTACACATATAAACTAACATGAGACAGTGTTGAGTTATAGTTGTTATAGTCATGTCCCATTGAAAAATTGATAATGTAAAATCAACATGTATATCATGGAAGCAATTCAGGATTTGGGCTAGATACACTCATACACATTCCAATTTTTTATAAATTTTTTAAAAAAGTGTGTACCTTCTGTACTGATCATTGGTTGGAAGAGAAATAGCACACCAAAGAAGCTGCTTGCTAGACCTGCAAAGGACGCCAAAGCAATGATGACAAACAAATCTAATGTTGTGTTTGGTTTGAGGAGAACAGAGGGAAAAACTAAATTAGAATGAACTTGCTTGCATCAATACATTGGAAGGCATGTGAGAAAAACGAATGGATGAAATCCCACTGCGTCGTGGAAATTGAGGGATTTGAAGGGAATGTTGTAGCAATTGAAATGAAAAAAATGTCCCTGATTTTTCTCCTAATACTAAGACTACCCAAGAAACCTGATCCCATTGCAAACCAAAAGAACTATTCTAGTCATTTCATTTTATATTCTCACTCATCCACCTGCAAAGCAAAAAGGGTAAGCCCATTCCCCCACTTTGCCCCCTTCCACTACCAAGCCCCAATAAACCAAACAAAGAAATTTATTTTCCTTTCCCTCTACTCCATTTAAACCCATTCCCTCTGTTAAGTCCTTGATAGTTTTACTTTTCATGTTAAG